GTGTGTGTGTGTGTTCGTTTCGAGTTTATTTTTTTTTTCTTTTTTTTTAAATTTTCCAGTTTCAGATTTTAAAGATGTTGATACGATTATATGAGATCGTTTCGTTGTAATTTTTGAGATAAGTTTGAAGGAGATAAAAATGAAAGAGTTGTTCGAGAAATATTCTTGATGTAACGAAATGATTTTTTTTTATTTAATACAAATGATTTATTTATTATCGTTTATTTTTTCTTCGGGAAGACAATTGATCGGTCAATTATTTTGCTTACAAAAATTGTTTTCTCGTTCACGCAAGAGTCAGTATAACCCTTATTCCGGCAGGTGATCGAAACGTGCTCTCCATATCGAATCGTTCGATCTGCATTTCAGATATTGAGAAATTCTGGAATCTCTACTACGCGATATGTAGATTATTTAAAATCGAACGCTTTCTCGATAGAATGCAAGGAACGATTCTTTAAATCCTAGAGGATTAGTTTTGTTTGGAATCTATAAGGAGCAAAAGTTGAAAGAAAAAAATTTATTCTTCATATATTGAATATTACATTTATAAATGTCATTTAAAAATTATTACACTATTTAAATAAGAAGAATTATCGTACAATATTTTATATCTATAAATTTTCAAATAGAAAAATAAATGGAAATTAATGTTAAATGTAAAATGGAAATTAAAATTAAATTAATGACAGAAGCATGATGAATTAAAACATTGAAATAATTTGAAGGAATATCAGACTTTATTATATCAGAAACATTTACAGAATTATTAATTAATATCGATAATGAGATTTAAGCCTACGAGGACGAGTGATCTGGACGATGCGACGAATTTCAAAGCGATAGAGTGATCGTTGAATCAAATATCAGCATGTTTCACACTATTAGACGTACAGATAACGTATATTAAGCGATAGATATTAGAATTTGATGCTGGAATCTTGGTTCGGTATCTTTAGTTGGAGTCCTGACGTGACAGCCAAGCGTTGCATGTCTCGCTGACGACTTCGCAGACCGACGACATGGCTCGGCTTGTGATTTCGTAATCTGCATCACGAACAGTAAAAAAATCATTTATATCGAAAGAAAGGAATGATATATCGAGGAATACTCGAGACGAATAAAAATAAAAAATCGAGAAATTTAAGAATTTGATAAATTTTAAAATTACCAGTGATGGTGTTGGATCTCTTGCCGAAAATGCTTCCATTGAAAGGAGGCTTCCTGTAAGCGGCATCTACACTGATGGCGAGGATGAAGAGGGCAGCAACCACGGCGAGAACAAGGCGGGTGGATACCATTTTGAGTTTTTGTTTGCGAGCTATTTGGAATTAAAAATTATTTGATTATTATTTAAATTACTCGTTGACCTAAGAACTATTACGACGAGAGAAAAAAAATATGGTGAAATACTAGTTTGAAAGTTTTTCGAAGTTATACTTTAATCAGTTAAAGACTCTTCTTTTCAACAAGAAATAGTCGATTTACTCACAAATATAAAAGGCGATGGAACTTGTGCTGTAGTTGGTCAGCGAATGTTGTAAACAAGGCAAAAGCTTCGAGCTTTTATAGTAGAGAAATGAGCCTAAGATAAATATCCCTATCAAATACAGATTCGCCTACATTATTTACAAGTGAACTGAACAAAGAGTTGGTCTAAGAACATATCGATTTGATATTTTTTATGTTAAAAATATACCATATCAACAGAAATAAAAAGCAAAGGGTATCTAAATTTCTTTAGTAAATCACAGAAGACTTAAAGAAAATTTTATATGAAATTTTAAATTTTCCTTTGCACGATATAACTGTAAATTGTAATTCTGATCGTTACCTTAAGCTGGAAGATGTCTTCTCGAAAGGAAGGATCGCTGTGATCTGTTGTTTTCGGAAGAAGGCTCGGCTTTTATAAGAAACCAGACTGCACATCGTCTTATGCGATGTGTAATATTATTACAGATCAATGTGACAAGCTATCAGGATCGAAATACAATTATACGTACTACTGATTACCTTCTGTCCCAAAGGAAATAACAATCTAGTTGGCAATAATGAAGAAAAATTGTGTATAAAAGTAAAAAAAAAATATAATGAGTAATTTTATGTTAAATTATAAAAAGAAAATATTATATATTGTTTTTAATATATTAGAATATTATTATATACACATAATTATAATATACTATATTATGCAAAAAGTAAATATCTTTAGAATTACGAAAACTTGGAAAAATTCATTTAATTCAATTTTCAGAACAAAATATTTTTTCATCATCTTATTTAAATCTAATAATAAAATTTTTATATCAATAAATCACTTGATATTTATATTAATTCATATTAATAAATTTATATTATAAAATATGTATATTTATATATTATATAATTTTTTAATTTTTTTATTTAATTTTTATCTAAAATATTTATTAATATTATAAGAAATAAAAGATTCTTCAGTTTTTTAGAATTAAATCTGAAAAAATATATTTTAAAGCATTGTGTAAAGAATATAAAAAAAGCGTTATAATATATATATTTTACATTTAAAGATTTGGACACTTTGTATTTTTGAAAAAAAAAGCGATGAAAATATCTTGAATTAAATTTCGTATCTTGTTAATAATCGTACAGTCAAAGCGAAAGTAGACAAAGAAAGCATATGGTTGAAAAAAGATAGAGATAGCGAAATTGTGGAATCAGCGCTATCTTCAGTGTGCCGCAAGTGAAACACAAGTAAATAAAGACAGCAAATATTATGACAAGGATAGAAACATAAGAATTGACTATTAGCGCCATCTCTTACATTTTAAAGGAAGTTTTCAAAAAATTCTTCAAAAATTAGTTCCATAATTATTCAAGAGATGGCGCTAATCTTTAATTCTTACCCCGCTTTATCTATATTGAAAAGGTTCCTTTAGTTTTCGAGAGATGGCGCTGGCTTATAATTCCTACTCTATTATATCTATATTGAAAAGGTTCCTTTAGTTTACGAGAGATGGCGCTGACTTATAATTCCTATTCTATTATATCTATATTGAAAAGGTTTCTTTAATTTTCGAGAGATGGCGCTGGCTTATAATTCCTATTCTATTATATCTATATTAAAAGGGTTCCTTTAGTCTTTGAGAGATGGCGCTGCTTTTTAATTCCTAGCCTACTTTATCTATATTGAGAAGGTTCCTTCATTTTTCGAGAGATGGCGCTGCTGTTTAATTCCTAGACTATTTATGCATATTGAGAAGGTTCCTTCAATCTTTGAGAGATGGCGCTGACGGTCAATTCTTATTCTATCTATCCTTCTTTTAGTATATGCTGTCCTTATTTATTTGTGTTTCATTTGCAGCACTCTAAAGATGGCGCTGATTCCGTAATTTTAAATCTATGTCTATCTTTCTTTAACTATACACTCTCCTTGTCTTACATTCGCTCTATATTTATAAATCGTTTTTAATGTTCCGGACTATTTACAAATGGTAAAAGCGAAGTTTTAATTACTCGTGCGTAATATTTTAATTATCGATTTTTTTTCTATTCCATTTAACATTGAAAATAGTCATTATGAATTTGATTAAAACTTTTTTAAATAAATTTGAAACAAGATTTAATTTAAAAATACGCATTATATCGGATATTATATTATTTATTTATCGTATGACAAAACATAATGCGAATATTATATTCACTTACATCATATATACATAATGTACAATCACGAACAATAAATGATAGAAATATAATTAGAGAATGGAATAACTTGTATAATTTTAGTGATGAATAGCATTTGAGCATAATATTCGTGATATATCTACCTTGATTATTTAATTATATGACTGTTTCCCGACAGCAACAGCATATACATATCTTATGTGTACGTATCAGAATATAATAACGCATTATTAATATTAACAACGATTAAATTGTACATATTATATCCTAAATTTGTAAATTGGTACCCCAAAAGTTTCGATTCCTTGATATATCATAATATAATCAAATAAAATCTTGGATGGGATTATTTATATAAATATTTACAAAGCAATTATTACTTATAACTATATATGTAGCCAATAAATCGCTGAAATCGAGTCTTTTGCGCACTTTTGATCGTTACTTCCGGATTATTTCGATGTTCACGAAGTCAATATATCGCGAAGAATTTCCGTTTGTTCTGTTCATCTCTTTACGATCTTACGAAAGACAGTATAATCAGTATGAAATATTGCCGTAATTTTTACACGACAGACGGGATATTGCGTCGAAAGTGCGCAAGAGACAAAGTTTGCATCGCTCAGGCATACTAGAAATCTACGTCTTATTGTCGCGTCACAACTTTTTTTGAAATGGCACACTATATAAATAAACGAACGCACGTTTTTTACTCTCGAAGAAACGCGAAGGAAGATCATTTTTCAGCCATCGACCAATAATCGATTTCCTCCCTCGACTCGAAACGTGGTTGCGTCGAAAAAAAAAAAAATAATAATCGCTTAAACAACAATTGATACTCGCATGCTTGCATCTGCATTCTGGACCGTGGTCTGTCGGATCTTATCGAGTCCTCGATGTAGCCACATGCGGAGTAACAAAGAGACTACGAAATGGAAGACATGGATTTTGTTTCGTTTCGCTTAACAAATATCTTAAAACATCTTCTTTTATTCTAATTCCCTTATTTAAATTACAGGTGTCGTGTAAAAGATTATTCATTTACGATAAGAAGAAATCCTACAGAGCTATTACGCGATGATGACGCGACGATGCACGCGTTAGTTGCATCGCGGCCACGTTATAAATATCGTTTTATTGCATAATACACACATCGCACTTTAGCGTCCCGTTCACACGCCTCGAGTCGGAACAATGCTCGTAATTGTGTATCGCCTTCAAAGTTTCCTAGACTGTAGATGCAAAGGAAGTGTTCTTTCTCTTATCGTGGAGGCGGTCGATAGTCCATTACAATGAAACACCTCTTTGTCTCAAAGAAAAACCCCTCTATTGCAGTGTGATAAAAAGCTTTTTCCTTGGACGTTAAGCTCCCCCCCATTAAGCGCGTGAACCGGACCTAGCGTCTAGAGAAATCTTAAGCCTAAGAAAGCAATTAAGCCACGACCGATAATCGTTTCGAAAAAAGAAAAAAAAAATTCCACTGATCTCGTGATCAATCATGATCGATCAAGAGAGCATCTTCGAATAAAAGGGGAGCGAATTTCCCGTATATATCTTATCATCTCTTATATCCCATACCTTGCGATATGGGCAAATATCTCACACGATTGAAATACGCCCCTCCTCTCGACGAGGATTATCGGCCAACGCGTAGATTAAGAAAAGAAAAGAAAAGAAAAAAGATACGAGCGAAACAATACGCGTTTTTATCAACTAAACAACTAACCTTACGTCCTATTATCGGTACCAATCGTCCCGACTAATCTACGAGATATGTAAATTCGTCCATCTCCTCTTCATCCGTCCCCATCACGTCCCTCCTTCACTTCAAGGTATAATGTCGCAATGACAGGCGCTGCCACCCTTACCGTTGTCGCACTGGCTGACACACCATAGATCCCAATCCATGGAATCCTCGTCCATAGGCGAGCCATCGTTAGGGCTCAAATTACCGGCGGTAGCGTTCTTCTCCATGCTCGACGTGTCGATCTCCATTTCCACGCTCCTCCCAGAAAGGCTCTCCTCGATTCCACGCTGATCCCCGACAGAAAGGAGAACAGCCACGGACCAACGTTCGTCGATCG